AATGTTGAAAAATGTAACAACACTCTCTCTGGATTAGTGTCATAAACGAAATTTTTACGAGTGCTTGCCTGTGTCCATAATTATCTCAATATTATTTCTCTCTTTGTGCTCTTTTATTTCGTAGCATCGCCTGTATTGAAATTTCCACTGTCCTCTCTTCAGTTTTAATTGCATAATTTCAATTAAATACGAGTAGCTAATCAGTTTCTATTGCCTCACTTTCATTTTCTTTCAAAATTGTTTCGTAATAAGAAACAAAATAACTGATCACAATTTTCTCAACTGTATACAAGTCAAAATTTTGCTACTTTTGACTTTTTGGATTGTCAAACTAATAAAATTTTTCTTTATTTCTTAATTGAGTTACTCGAAAATTAATCTCATTGTTTAAAAATAATTTGATTATTTTCGACCCATTCGTTTTTATTTTACTTATATTACTTAAAAAAATTGTGGATTATTGTGAATGATTGAGAATACAACAAAACGTTACATGTATGTATATGTTTGAGCTAATAATTTATTATTAGCTCAAACATATTTATTAAAACCAGTAGATATTTATATTAAATAATGTACTAATGTCAAATATAATGTATGTAATGGGTCTTCGTAAACTAAAATCTTTGTCCGAAATATTCCGAAATCAGAAAATTTACAAAAATCAAGCCTAATATTTTATATTCCGATATATTCCAATTGAATTACCTACATGAATAAGAATTTTTATTGTTCAATTTTTGATTGATTTCATTTTATCTAGTACGAGTATTATATTTTTTTCTGATAATTCAATACCCTTCTATTTGGAAAACGGGACTGGTCCGGAAGTGTTCAAATTTGTATTTAATTGTTTTTTTAAAAGATATTTTTTTTTTCAAGCGAATTTTCAAATTCAAGAGCTAGAACCCCTTATGATTTTCATACATAAATTCGGAAATTATTTTCGATTTATTCTCTAAGCTTGGTATTTTACTCTGATGAAATTCATATGAAAAATAATTTTTAATATCTTTTATTCCATTTATTCAAATTTCAAATGAATTTTTCTCATTAAAAATATTTTTTATCGAATATTTAAGGAAAATAGTTCAGCATGCATAAAATTTAAATAATACCAATAATACCAACTTCTATAACCAAATATAAGCCTATACATAAATATGTAAACATACGAATATGTGTGTGCATAAAATTTTCATCTTTATTGGCTCTAAACCAAAAAGAAAATAACAATTCATTATTAATTTCCAAAAAAATATTTTTTAGGTAATCCTAATTGAAAAATGTACAATTTTTTTTTCAATAAAACTAATTAAAGTGTTGTTTTTCTTTCTTTTCTCTATAATTCAAATTCACCAAAAATATTAGAAAAATTTAAAAGAAATTCGAGATTTTTAAATTATCCTTATGAAAAATTAGAATAAACTCCAAAAAACTATAAATTATTTTTAAATTCATTGCAGATATTTTTGCCTAAGATGGAAACTTGCACGTGTATTACATTGACAATACCCTACTTCTGGGTCTTAAGTATATTAATAATTTTGATATTAAAATCCTGTAGCATACCGAAAAAACTCTTGTAAAAATGTCACAAAAAATCTCACTTTTGAATATTAAAATTATTTTTATTGTTTTCATTTTATGTTGGGAAATTTTTGAGTTGTAAAATACGTGAATTTCTTAATTTACGTATTTTACAATTCAGAATCCAATTTCATTTGTAGAACTTGTTTTATTATTACAAATTAAAATATTTTTTATCTGTGATTACATAGTATAGTAGAATTTTAAACGTATTAATTAGTTGGGGATGTGGGAACCTTAAGATGAAGTGCAACTCAAAATTTTAGGCCCATTGTCTTTTCTATATGTACATATATGCATATGTATTTTTCCACATAAATTTACATAAATAAAATATAAAACTCGTAGAAATGCAATAATTTTCGGGAAAAAATCCGTGTAAACATTGTCAAAAATATAATTTCGGTAGGGCACACGTTATATAGTCCCATACATAAAATGGTAATCGAAATAAAACCGCAGTCAAAATGTAACAACTGTATGAACACTCCCATACAAAACTTTAAGGATCAAAAGTGATTTAACTGGATTTCTTGGAAATTTTTAAAGGGAAAATTCAATTTCTATTTGTGGCCCTTATAAATAGTATTTAAATCATTAAATCCAGATAAGAATAGATTTCTTAATCTTTTTTAACATTTCATGAGAGTTTAAAATTTCTTGTTGAATATTAGCATTGATTAAATTAGTTTAAATTTTTCAATATTTTATTGTTCATTACGACATTGAAATTTATTGATCTTAAAAACCAAAATAATAAATAATATTGATTTGAGCTTCCTATAATGATAGATTCTAAGATATGAACAAAAACAAAATATAAATTTTAAAATTTTCAAATATTTGTTGGAAAAAATTAATATTAATTAACAAATTACCATTATACAACGAGAAATCCCTATTAAATTTATTAAAAAGTGAAAAAAAAATAGAGTTGATCATGTCAACTCTATGATACCCTTACGAAGTTATCTTATTGGCAAAAAAGTATACTGTAGCTAAATCAGAGTCTAATAATGCTGGTTTTGTTCTACAAATGGTTACAAACTGAATGGCGAATTTTCAATGAAATTCATACCTTAATAATTTATGCAAAATTTCATTACTGTAGTTTCAATATGATTAAATAACTATTCAAGTTGTATGGCAGTTGTACGGCAATTATAACAAGGAATCAAGAAATTTCAACAATTTTTATTGCACATAATCACACTTAACAGCTCCAGTAATATATTTGCTTATGCGAAATTTCGACATAATATCTTGAATAATTTCTGAGGTAGGGCCAAATAACAAAGTTGTAGGGCAGATTCCCGGACCACTGCCTGGATCACATCCAATTTAAATAGGATTGCAACAATTACTATTGTTAATCATTTGTGAAATTTAGTGTTTTTACTTTTTAGGGTTACAAACAGTAAGGTAAATTTGTAATAGCTTTGGAACATACATACTTTCGTACGGATATAAAAGGCAAAATAATACCAATCAATGCGTTTTGTTTTTATTTTGTCCTTGAATTTTATTTTTGAAATACTTCAATTTATTAATAAAAATATTTTTACAATAAAAAATATTTAAAAAAAATATATGAAATTTAAATATTTATTGTAGTGTCCCTTACCACCTTAAATGATCGATTGGAATATTATAAAACCATACCATTAATTATAAGGACGAAAAAATTCATCTTAAATTTTATATAAATTTTAAAAAATATTTTTAGCTTCCCCCACATCTCTCTCACTTCACCATCTAATTGAGCATGTAACGTGATATCGTTTAGAATTGAATTCGTGAATTTTGCTCTATAAAAATCGATATTAAATAGAATATACATATTATATATGTACATACATACACATATATACATAAATTTCTAAATATAAATTAAATTCTTAAATTCCCAAAATATCTATATAAAAGATGTGGATATAAAGATTTTGGCTTATACTTTTAGTATTGGATGAAGAGAGACGGAGATGAATTATAAAATATATTTCATAAATGAATCTTTGGATGATTCTAAAATTAAATTACAAAAATTTTGACTATTTTGAATTTACATAAAATTTATAAGTACTTTTTTTGGTTCCGTTTTGCCAGTAACAACAATTTTAACTATGACATTTAACCATAGATCTTGTTGTGTTAATTAAAACTGCAGTGTTAAATTGCATTATAAATAACTATAGTGCTTTTCCAAAATCCTTAACATATTTATTTTATTATAATTTATTTTAATCCTTTGACATTAATATGATTTTCTCAATAATACCGGAAATAATATTGTCACCACCCACATTTAATTATAATTGTAAATTAATTTATAATAACATTGTTGAATAATAGTAATATTTTTTTTAACAATTAATTAAAAAAAAAAAAGAATTTTTTTTTCTGAACAATGTCAAAATCATATTTAATGTTTTAATTTTTCATATTTAACTTAATTAATCTGTAATTTTTGAAAACTATGATTTTCTCCAATATTAAAATTTCCATTAAATTGGGTTATTTAAATTTAAAAATTTTCATTAACATTATTTCTATAATTTGAAAATATTTTCATTTAGTTAAAGGCTAAACTAAATTGGTGAAATTTTAGTTGCATACGGAATTTTTTTTTTCGGATGCATACTTGAATTCTCTTTAATATCTTCGTTTATTGAAGATTTATGTGAAGTGATTTCCAGATAATAAGATTTATCAAACTAGATCTTTATTTCTAGATTTTAATGTGGCAATTTCCTCGTAGGGGACCACGTTCGTAGACCCTTTCCAAGTGGGCCAATAGGATCTTTTGTGATTAAAACTCTTTCTATCTCTGAACTAAATTAATTTTATTGAATGATTGAGTAACTATATCTACTTCGAATTTATTTAAACCTTATTTGCATCCGTAAATTGTAATCAAATGCTGTAAAAACATTGTTTATCATACTAAATATGAATTTTAACTTTGCAATATTCTTGCTATTTAGTGTACCAATTAACATATTGGTAAGTAAATCGAAAACCGCAACAGTTTGTCATGACAATTCAATTTATTCTATTTGTAATACACTCCGAATTTCAATTCGATCAATTTTTTTAATCAATGTTTCTGAGTTCATATATCACTTAAAATCAGTTTTAAATATCTATTTCACGGCGTTGGTTCATTAATTTTTCCGGAATAGAATAATTGCTTCCATTAAGTCCTAATTATAAAAATCTCACTTAATTTTCATTAAATAAATGTACACAATCCCCATATTAAATCAATTTTTCTCTTAATCATATTGTTGCATTGCAAATATTATTGAAGGCAATGTAATTTAATACATAAATCTTCATTATTTTAAATTGAATACGAAAAAACAAAAATTATGAAAACTCAATTTTTCTTTTCATTCTTATATTTGCAGATATCCTTTTAACTATAAAGATTAAATATCACAAAATAAAATGCAGTTCGAAAATATTAAAATTACTTGCAATAATAAAAATTATATAAAATGGGCCAGTAAATACCAACAGAATCAACCGCACCAACAAACAACAAGATCAAAAATAACAACACAAGATTAACTATTTTTTAATTAACCTTGAAAAATCATTGGTATGAGAGATAGAGAAAAATGAAAGAAAAAGTGAACTGTGAACACTTTTAATTACGAAAAAAATATATAAATTAAAAGGAAAAAATAAAACCACAATTTACAACAATACAAACATACATACATATCCTGTTTTATGTGAAGAATTAAAAATACGTTCTTAAAACTATTATATGAAAATACAGAAAGAAAAATAATAACCAAATTGGGTTAACCAACAAAAAAAAAGAGGTTCTGCATGCATGCAAAAGAAGGTACCATAAGAGTAGAACAGCAATAGTGGAATTAAAAAATCAATAATAATTAAAGTGTTAATGGAAAAACAAGTATTTATATGATAAAAAGGTAGCAGAGATCACAATAAAATAAAAATTAACTTACAAGTATGAAAGGATAAAAATTTTGTAAAATCTCTAAAATATCTGATAAAATATTTTGTAAGAGAAAACAACGGTGGCGTATAAATAATTGAAAAATCTTTTTCAAAAATCAAAGACTCTATGATTGCACTATACAAGTATTACGCAACTACACTTTAACAATTTTGATCTTAATTTGCAAAAATCTTCATTTTAAAAACGTTTAATAAGCCCTTAAAACAGTAAATGTATAACAAATACCAAAATATAATTAGATATCCTACAGAAATCACAAACACAATACAAGATAAAAATTTTTGCATTAGATCTAGAAGATAACAAAGCAAAGAATCCATAAATTTTGTCTTTAAACAGACTTTCAATTTTCATCACAGATACCAAAACACAACGGAAATAAAAACAGCACAGAGAAAACTCTAGTGACATCTCTATATTTCTAAAATTTCATTCAAATAACGTAGGTGAAGAAGGCAAAACAATTAAGACAACAAATTCGACAAAATTTTGCAAAATTAGTGTTATTTGCTTTATCATTCAATTTCAATTTTAAAAACAAATTAAATTTGTTTTTCCACTTTTAACGTAAAAAATAGAAAAAAAAAATTGCGGTTATGGTCAAAGGAATTCTAACGAATCGTGTTGTTAAGGAATTTGACGCAACGTCGAAAATGGAGCATGCTGATTTAATAGCTGAAATGCATACAATAGAAAATTTACCAACACAAGAACGTTTGCATTTAGCTCGAATGTAAGTAATTAATAATTATTTTGTATATTAGTAAGAATTTTCCAAATGAAAATTTTCATTACCAAAATTTCAAAAAAAAAAAAATTGCATAAGTTTGGGCGATACGAAAAAAAAATTAACAGATAACTAAATGTTTTCATGATTAATTTACTTGGCATGTGAATATTAACCAAATAAATTGACGTCTTTTATCATATTTAGTTTTATTCCGATTTATTCCGATATATGAGTATGTACACTAGTATAACAGTACAATGAACAACTTTAAAGTTAACTAGTTATTTATTTTTCGATTTGAAAAGTAATAATCATATAGAAATTCTACAATAAAAACAAATTCACCTCTTCTTGTGTATTTTCATAAATAAAATTGCATACATTTGGGCTAATCATATGAGGTGAATTCAAGTTACAAATACAAGTTTATGAATTTAAAGTTTCCATTTGTAGTTTTTTTGTGAATTTAAAAACTTTTTGCTTATATAATTGATTTTTGCAAAACTTGCACAAAAATTTCTAAACAATAAAAACTTTTCTTACCATACAAGTAAAATTTATTGCATTACTAATGGTTGTGTTAAAGGTCTAACAATTTGTATTCTTTCCTTTATCAATTTAAATAAAATATAATTTAGAATAATGGTAAAAATACAAGAAAATTCACAATTATTTAATAAAATTGTTGAAATTTTAAAAATAATAATAAAATTGTGAAAAAACATACAAAAACTAAATCGTAAAATTTGAAAAGTTTTGCGAATATTAAACTTTCAAAAGGATTTGCCGATTTGAAATGAATCAAGGATTTTTAGTTGTATGTACACAATTTAAGAAAAAAAAAACTTTTTCCATCAAATTCAATTGAATGTGTATAAGATGAAAACTATTTTAATGCATAGATAAATTTATTTACCTCAGGCAAAGAAAAAAAAAATTTATTTTTTATAAAACTTTTTCTCGTTCTCTTGAATAGTAAAGAAAAAAACTTTTTTATTGCAAGTCTATGAAAAATTCTTTAAGAAAGAGCAATAAAATGGGAGTTGATACACAATATTTGTCAAACCCATCGATACTGGTTCAATCAGAATGGGTAATTCAATACCAATAAAATGTATTTTAAACTTTTCATCCTTTTTTTATTTGGTTTTCTTAGTTTGTAAAAGAAGAAACTGCTATAAATATTGTTTCTGTACTCGGGAATGTTGAGAAATATTCTACACAGTTTCTATATTACTCACTAATGTGGAGTGACTTCTTAAGGGTTTAAGTTTTAAATTTAAAGAAAAACACAGAAAATTCCAAAATTTATCGTTATTCGCCGTTCGTTTTTAACATAATTTTATGTACAGAAATATTAATCACGTCTACGTTTTTTATTAAGTGATTCATTAAGTGGGTGTTCAAATCCGAGCTACATTTTGGCACAATTCCGCTCGAATACCATCAATGACATATTCTAAAGTAATGATTAATGCTGAATAGTTGATATAAACAAGAGTTTTCACGATACCTCTAAAAAGAACTAAAGGAAATTTCTAATCGCATGATCTCGGCTGGAAATTTCCAGGTCCAAAATATGAGATTTCATTAAAATTCAAATTAAAATGAGATTTCATTTAAATTTTCTATATTTATATAATAATTTGAATATATTTTTTGGGTTTAGATCTTTGATATTGGCAACAGTTGTAACCAATCGCTGGTTAAATGTCAGAAACACAAATATCTAAACAGCAATAGCATTATACCCTCTAAAAAATCATGCTGTAAAATTCAGTACGTCAACATTTTACAAAACAATCAAACGAAATATTTTTCAGCTTTAAAATAAATTTAAGACAGAATGAAGGAACGGAAGAGTTGCTTTTATTAAATTTTTTAGTACTAAACGTATTTAAACAAAGGATGATATTAGACGAATAATTTCCAACAATTTATTTAGGAACGATTTACGTTACAAAATGCATACACAATAATTGCGTTCAAAACAAAAATATATCTTAACATATTCTAAAGTAAACTTGGAAATTTCACCCCTTAAAAATCAACAAAAATATTTTGATATCCACCACCCTTTTAACTTTCCAACCACCAAAAGTTTTTTTTTTTTGAAAATATTTAAGTAATCACAAAGTTTTACCAGCACGTTCAATTCAAATATTTTTCCTTTTTTTCTCTTTTGCTCATAACAACAAATTTTCTCTTTCGTAAGTCTTAAATTATTTAAAAATTTAATTTAATTTTTACTTTGCATGTACACAAGAAATAAAAATTTCAAATATCTTCCCCCCTTTTCTTTCTTCTGGGACTTTTTTATTATAGACAACTTACTTCAATCTATCTTATACGCTCTTCTCTATATAATGAACTCAGTGTCGAGGAGTCAAAAAAAAAATTTATGTCTTTTTAATTAAAGACAATATTGAGAGCATGTTCTCTTTAAAAGACTAATTATCGTAGAAAGATAAAAGTATATTTGAGTTAAATTGATGTAAGAGAAAAGACAGTAATGAGATAAAAGCAAAAGTGCTCTAAGATGGCAAAGAAAAAAAAATATTTTGTTTTTTATTAAAAGGTTTTATTTATTTTAAAGATTTAAGAGGATCTCAAATATTGTGTATTAAGCAACAAAACATATTAAGTGCAATAAAGCAGTTTTTATTCCATTATGAAGTTTAAAATTAAATCATTCAAGTTATTCTGACAAAGAGTTAAAATAAAGATTTACTCAAAATTGGGTACACTTTAAACGTTAACACTTCAGATATTCCACAAATATGGGTAAACAGTTCTAGTGCTGTAGCGTTAAAGTTAAATTGAAGTTTTCAAATTAAAAAAGTACTTTAATTGCAGAGTGTAGCCGATTCATTTTTTAAGAATTTAATGGGTACGAACTACATATTTCTTGTTCAATTAACGATCATGATTTACGAGAGTTTCATTGTACAAAAGCAAAGTGTACAAATCCTCCCGATCGATAAAAATTGAATGCTATTAGGATGGACGCACGGAAAATCTTTACAGAACCGACTTGAAATTCTTCTTTGAAGTTTTGAATGGGATGACATTGTAACATAACCTTTATTGAACATAGTTTACGCATGTCAACTACCGTGGCGTTTAAAAAGTTATAATAAGTTTTTGATATTTAAAGCTTTTAAGAACTTCACAACAATTGATTTTCGCTTTTGACGTATTTGATTATTTATTGTTCTTATCTTGTACTTTTACCTTTTCTCTCGTTATAATTAACAAAGGACATAAAACGCGACTAAAAATCTTAGAAGAAAACCTTCCTATTAGTAGCATGTTGCAGAATCTCAAACGTTTGATATAATTTATAACATAATACAAATATGAAACTTCTGCAAGCTGGCAACGTTTTGTTGTGCCATAATTTCTTAAACGGTATAAAAGACAAAAGAGTGTCAAAAGAAAATTAAATTTTCAATGTTTCTGTTAAAAAATCTTAGCCAACATTATTACATCATAAGTAGCACAATTTTTGCATAATATATTTTTTGAGAATCTCAATAAATTTTAATTTTTTTTTTATAATGCAGGCGACGTGCCCAACAATTGAAAGTTGCACGTCAAAAAGAAAAAGAATGGGCAAAATTACAACGTAGTCAAAAACATTCACAAAATGCACATTCCAAACGTAATAATCCACCACGACGTCATATATCATTTGAAAATAGTGTTGTATTATTAGAAGCAGCTAGCCGTAATGATATACAAGAAGTAGCAACATTATTACAACGTGGTATTACACCAGATGCTGCTAATGAAGATGGTTTAACAGCATTGCATCAATGCTGTATTGATAATAATATTGAAATGTTAAAATTGCTATTAGATTATGGTGCTAATGTTGATGCACAAGATAGTGATAAATGGACACCATTACATGCGGCAGCAACATGCGGTCATTTAAATTTAGTAAAAATATTAATTGGACGTGGTGCTAATTTATTGGCTGTGAATACTGATGGTAATATGCCATATGATTTATGTGATGATGAAGATACATTAGATTACATTGAAGCTGAAATGTCAAAACGTGGTGTAACACAAGAATTAATTGATGATACAAGAGCACAAACCGAAAAACAAATGTTAAATGATTTAATAGAAATAGGTAATAATGGTGGTGATTTAGAAGAACCAGATTATCAAGGTGCAACACCGGTAAGTTCAAATTATTTAATGATAATAAAAATAGCACAATTACAATGTTTTTATTTAATATTAGAAGGTTTCACTGAATCGCTTAGCAACACTACGCCTTTTAATCTTTAATTTAAAAAAAAAATAATTCTATCCAGAAATCCTTGAAAAATCCCTTAATGACCTTTGAATTTACCATGAAATCGGTCCCCTTACACTAAAAATATGTGTTTTTTAACACTATTGTCCACAATCTTTAAAAATAGGCAACCATAGTAATAAATATGAAAATGAATATTTCACTTTTTTTTCGTTTTTTTATGCTTATCGTCCAAATTGTATGCTTTAATAATTTCCAATTTAACATCCTTAAATCAAAATTTATTTGACTTTAATCGCCCACACAAATGGTATTTTAAATAAAAAAAAAATGCAAGAAAAAATCAGAAAAACAAATTTTTACAATATGAAATATTTTCTCTGTGGTTAAAAATTCCCATAAATTTAAAAAAATGAATCGATTTTATTCTAACTTGAAAGTAACCAAAGCCTTACAACTGCTATAGTATAGTATAGTAATATTAGAACCGTGCCCAAAAACATTATACGTTTACAATATTTTATGAAAACTTTTCGCCAAAAGTTTATATTGTGTTGCGAACTATGGATCTGGGAAATATAAATGCTAGGGGCCTTAGCCAGAAACCTAGCCTTAGTTCGGCCTGGTTCTCATGAGGGTGGGAGATTTTGTGGATCCGCCGGTATCACAACGGGACTTACAGGGCAATGTGTACCTTGCGGTTACCACGTTAAGCAAACCTAACCTCACCTTATATTGTGTTGAAATTCACCAAAATATCACATTGTGTTGATCTTCATAAGGCCATTTTTATTTATTAATAAATTTAAATTTTGGATTCAAAAGAATTATGTATAGATATTCCGGGCGTTTTTGCCTCAATATAACTAAATGATCGTTTCATTGGGCAAAGAAACTGACAATCTAATTTCCAATTTTCTGTATTTCTGAAATTTAGTATTATGTTAACTATTGTTAAGACAGCCTAAGATACTACTCTATTTGAAATTCAAATATGTATCTTATTTCAATATTCAACCTTTCTACCCCTATATCTTTTGTAATTCAGAGGATAAAGTTGATTAAAATCCAAAAAATTCTACATATTCCACACACTACATTTATTATAAAAAATGTAGTATTGGAATATTACAAACGGAGTATGGTTATTATCACCACATATATAGGATCAATAACAGAATAAGAAAAAAGAGAAAAACAAAAAATAAAATTCGATTGTATATTAAATATCCTTGACCATATTTTAAAACAAAATAAAGAGAAAAAAAACTTGTTTTTAGACTTAAAATTATAGAAATTTTTTATTTTAAAGGTTCATAAATATTTATGTCCTGATTTCCAATACATTTTTTTTTTTGGAACTTATCCAAAAAATTTCCCAATAGAGTAAAACCAAAAAATTTATTTTGGATTAAAAAATTTAAATTTTATAAACTGGAAACACTTATGTTTCTATATAAAATCTATGAACATAATTGGTAAAACAAGAGTTTTGAAAATCTCAAAGAATGAATTGAATTTACTGCCCATTCACATATGTTATTGTAAAAAATTTAAAAATTTTTGGACATTACTTTATTAAAATGACTGTAAATTTCCATTTTTAAATCCTTTTTTACATAATATACCAATACGTAATTCTATATGTTCTTGCAGATTAAGTGGCTTTTAATGTTTCTAATAAGCTACACTCTTTAATGTACGGAATAAATTTTGAAATTGTTATTTCATCGCCTTAACAATAACTAATCTGTCTTTTATTGAATTTTATTAGGAAGGTAATAAAAACGCTTTTGAAATCCAAATTACTGGAAGACTATGTTTTAAAACGCCAGGAAGTTAAAGGTTGAACGTTAGCAAATTTGATACTATGGCGCTCCCTCTAAAATATTTTGAATCATGGAAATGAACTTAAAAACAGTTCATCTGTAGTAGCAAATAAAAACGAACAAAAAAAGAGAAATCGCAAGCAAGCAGTATCTATATTAGCGCATTCAAGATGAGCTCAAATAACATTGGATGATGGAAAGACCTTTTCAAAAAACCAGTCATAATTCTTGTAAACTTTGCTATAAAATATCTAAAAATTCCCAAAACACCAGTAGTTAACACCTAAATGTCGGATAATATCGTAGAAAACTTTGTAATAGCACTCTTATCCCATATACTACCTTTGATCATGTTTTCGAATTGAATCATACACACGATCGACAAATAGAATTAATCCACCAATACCCTTAACTATTAAAACAAAAAAAAATTTTTCTTAATTAAAAATTTCAAGCATAATTTCCGGCTTTAAATTTTTATTTTAGCTTTTTAAGTGTCTATTATAAAAGTAAAAAAAAATTGCTTAATATTTGAAATAAATTTAAATATCGTGTAATCGAACACAAAATTGATGACTGAAATCGCATGCTTTAAAAAAAAATTTTAGTATTTTTATCAATAAACATTTAAAAAAAGCGAAACTTATTAATAATGAGTAATTTATACTAACAGGTTTTCTCAATCGAAAATAAAAGTTGTGATGTAATGAAGCTTCAATATAAAAAAAAAGTAAATAAAATGATGCAAAAGTTCTGAACCCGGATCGCTTTGAGAAATTCAAAATAACTCCTCAATTTTTAATCTTCATATTTTTTTTCTCGTTCTCGTTTATGTTTGTTATTTTTATTTTTTGGGGATTCTCACGGATCTTCAATATTGCTTAACAAAAAAAAAAAAAAAACAGAAAGCAGGCAGAAAATTCAAATTAAAAATGAAGAAACAAAACGTTTGTAAAACTTGACCTGCCTTTTTTTAAATAAAATCAAATTAATTTTTATTAAGAATTTTTTAATATTTAATTTTGCTTGTCATTTTTATAATTATTAAAATTTATTTAAGACTTCTTATAAGGAAAACAAAATATTTCTTACCGATTTTGGTCCCTTTAGTCTTCAAATAAATTCAATTGTACTTTGGACTTAGCATTCTGATATTTTTAAAACACAATTCCAAATGGTAGATATTCTTACATCTAACAAAAATAGAATTTGAAATACATCAATTTTTACGTCGTTGTTTTCAAATTTTTTCACTTTAATACCTAAGCATGCATATTTTTGAAAATTGCTTACTTACCCATCATTATTTCGCACTTCCGCGTATAGTTGTAGATTAGACATCTTGAATTATATGTTAAATGTTCAATATTTTTATTGCGTAATCAGGCGATGTATTCCATCCAACTCAATATCTGCAATTCTTGATCTTCTTTTATTAATTGCTCTAATTACCAATTGCTTCCTCTTTTTTCAGTTCTTAATTTTTCAATTTTAATACTCTAGAATGACTTTTTTTTTAAAGCATTCGGTATCCATATAACTTTCTGTCACTAAGCGTATTTCACTATATTAAACGTCTTATGGTTCTTAATAATACAATCAGTTTGGTTTGCTTTCAATCGTGTATATAGGCAGCGACGGATCTACCATATATGCAAAGTAAGCATTATGCAATGAGCGCTGGAACACACGGGCGCAATTATTAAGCGCAATAAGCAATAATGATTGCATATTTTTCATTTCTTTGAAAATGGGAGGGCGCACGTTACGGAAAGCGCCTAGAGCGCCGAAAAAGTCAGAACCGGGCCTGAATCATGATCTGTAATTTATATGTATACCATATAGGTATACATATATATTACAGATCATAATTTCCAAAAATAAACTACCGTTATCCAAATGACAGCCACACGAAATTGCTACTTTTATGTGCAAAATATTTTAAGCAAAAGATCAAACCATGTATTTTCTTAGTCACGCAAGTAGACATTTTAAAATAATTTATAATTAAGAAAGTGTCTACTAAAAATAATTGAAAATTATCCGAAATAATACTTACAACTTGAAATTAATTAAATAAATTACAAAAAAAAAAAAAGTTTAAACATTTCAAATGGCAACAAACACAAAATTGACAATGGACTGTCAAGTTACGTATACAAATTTCATTTTATATATTATCAACTTTCCGCTATACACTAACCATTTGAGAGAATGCTTTTGCACGGTAAAGGCTATCAATGTGACATTCCAGTACTCTACTATGCTGCCACCTGATAAACAATAGATTTACTTCTTTAAATTTTAAATGCAGCACAAATATCATTAACAGTTGCGTTAGAAAAATTTCTAAAAATTAAAAATTACTAAAACATTGAATTAAAATGTTTTTTTTTAATAATTTGTCATTTAATAAAGTGCTAGAAATAAATTTTATTTTCCTCTCTCTTATCGCGTACATTAAAACTTGATTGCTCTATAAGACATCATAATTACAAACGTTTTATTTTATCCAGATTTATATGTAGATATGTGAATATATTTATAAATATGTTGATAATACAAAATAAATATTTTTTTCTTAAAGAATAAATCCTTATCTAATATCCTTTTAATAGTATATACACATACATATAGATTCTAATATAAATAATAATATGAAAGTATTAAATTTAAATCTGTTTTCTCTATCTTTAAAAGTATGTGGTATGGAAAATATTCAACCTTAATTCCTTGTCACTGCGTGACATTAAAAACTCTCGTCTTTATTTCAAGTTGCTTGACTTTTTATCGTAAAAGAATTTTTTTGTTCTTTGTTTGTTTCTTCGTTTTGTTTTTTGCATGAATTTTTGTTTTCCTATTTTCCGATATCCTTGTAAATCCTTTACCATGCTAAAGTTCGAATGAAATTTAATGTTTTTTTAAATTGTAACAAAAGAATACGAACAGAAAAAAAAATACTACTTGATCTCCTTTCACTTTCTGTCGTTACGTTTTTGTTTTTCTTTTTTGTCCCACTTTCTTTTCATTTTCTTTCTGTTTTTTTTGTTCTTCTGTTAAAATTTATTATTGTTCTTTTCTTTCTTTTATGA